ACGTATATATATATAATTTCTTTAGTTTCTGTCTTTTATTATATAAAATAAGGAAATCCTATACACACATACACACACACACACACACACACACGTATTTATATATACACCAACACTCACATATACACCCTCTTGCTTGGCAAAAAAATCTGGTACAGGAGGCCCCCAGCTTGCGATGCGATTGGTTCCTGGGGTAGTGTCACAAGTCAGGGGCATCGTAACTCAAACCCAAATTTACAGTAGATGCTGTGCGCCGTCAGAAATGCGAGCCAAGGACATAAGTCGTGGGTTTCCAGCTCCTTCCGCACTTTCAAAAATGGTTGTAAGTGTGGGGGGTTGGAACTCGGGTGGTCGCATGTTGGGGGCCTCCTGTATAGTAGTTTTATATTTAGTTGCAAATCAGCATGCTTTAATGGTCACCCATACATGTGACTTAACCCTTTTCTATGGAAATGACTAAAAATTGCAAATTAAAAACAAGATTAAAATCTGTTGTTTAAATCAGTGTTTGCCGATTAAAATCAGTTATTTAAATACAGGTTGAATCTCTCTAATCTGGCACTTTCTGGTCCAGCAACATCCGTAGCGTGACATGATTTTACTTACCCGAATGTCTGGTTATTATAGGCGTGGCCAAGCTTCCCACTGTCCTGTAAAATTTGTTTACAGTTGTCAGTCTTGGCTCTCAATGTTCTGTGCTTTTGTTATTCAGCTTTAATTTACCCCTAAATTTCTCCTCAGAGCCCAGCAAGCAGGGTAAGCATGGTTTTTATGCATTATCTATGTATATCCTTGTGCCAATACAGTAAAATTGTGTAACAGCACTAACACTTTTATGAAGAGAACTGATAAGTCCTTGCTGGGCCTAGGCTTATAGAGGCTGTATCAGTACAGTCATATATTATTAAGCAACACAGCAAGAATTGTTAATTGTTTATTTCACTTCCATAAAATAAAAATAAAGAAACCCACTCACTACAATATTGACCTCCTGTGGTTTAGCAAATTCTCTGGTTCAGCACCTGTCAGGTCCCCAGGGTGCTGGACTGGAGGTTCAACCTGTATTTTTGATGTATTAACCTGTAGCTGTTGATTGATATATTAAATATATTGATTTCAAGTGCTCAAAAGTTAGGACAAAATGCTCATTTTATTATTTACATGTGTGATTTTTCTCAGGGAATTCTAATGAAGGATAATTTATTCAGTTTAGATTCTCTAAATGTTAAAAAGTACACGCAGTTTCTGTGGAAACAAATACCACCTTAACATGATTTTGTATTTTTCAAATGTTCCATATTTTCTGGTTCAAGGTAATTCTCTTTGTATTGTAGTTTTTTTTTTTTCATTTTGCATGTAAGTAATTCAGAGTTTAGTAAACTCAAACATGCTCATTTATTACATTATGAAATAAATTTATTAGATCAATACCAGTAGATGGGACAAGAGCAATAGTACATTTGTTTCCTGTGGCTTGTTTGATGCGCTATAATATTTACAGAAATAGGCTCTGGTCCTGCAGATACTTATATACATGAGTAACTTTATGTGAACTCATTGGGACCATTCGCATGCATAAATGTTTGCAAGATTTGGGAGCATGGTCTTGTAGGAACCAGCAAGATGCACTGGGTGAGGCGCTGGGCTTGGGAGACAGGGATCTTTTCTGGGTTCTATATGTAGAACTGCCACTCTCCCTGCACTAATCACATTTAATTCTCTGATTCAAGTTTTTAATCTGTAAAATGGGAAAGTTGTTACTTTCCTGCATTTGTAAAATGCCTTGAAGTTTATAGAAGAGCTAAAAATTATTGCTATGTTTAATGCACATTTCTTATTTTCTAGGATCATTTAATGCACTCCTTCGGGAGCTGGTGGCAGAATTCACTTTGACAGACAATTCTGCTAATACAACTACATCACTGCTTAGATCTCTTTGCCATTATGATGACAGTGTTCTTCTTGGTTCTTGGCTACAGGAAACTGATCATAAATCAATTGAAGATCAGGTAACAAAAAATCAGTAATAAAACTCCTGAGCTTTGGCTCGATTGAAGAAAATCAGAAAAACTGAAATTGTACTCTTCCCGTGGATTTGGAAGGCCAGTGTAGTTCTACTGATTTTTCAAGCTTGTTTCAGAGGATTTTACAGATTTTATAGCCTTCCAGGTGCAGTGTAAATTTCTGGTAAAACTAGCAAGCAAAACAAAACAAAAAAAATGAGTAGAAAATATCAATGAACAATTTATGAAGCTGTGGTTAATAAGCTATCCTTGCTTTTAAAACAATTAATTAAACCTTTCTAGAGTTAGCAAGAAGTCCCATATTTTTTTACCCAGCTGAGGTATTTTAGAATGAAAGAAGCAGTGTTTATAATGGAACTGTGGTCACACAATATATTAACATTTGCAGCTAGTGTTATACCAAATAGGCACTTATTTTTCCTCTTCAAACAGCTGTGTGAAATCATATCCCTCCATTATAGATGGTGACCACTACAAAGTCTTATTGGGAATAGGAGGAACTTTTAAATATTTTTGAAGGAAATTTGACTGTTTGAAACATTTATAGACATGTGCAAAATATAAGGTTTTTGGAAATATTTCTTTTTGGAGATTCTAAGCAAATTTTTGTGGGTGATCAACTCTTAAAGTTGGTCCATTTGTGTTTTGGGCCTGGGACAGACATTATAGGAAGAAAGACAAGGTTCTGGGAATGTTGTTTAACTAGGCCACAAGTTAATTTATTAATTAAATGAAACTTATCTGACAATAACTCAATTAATACGTGGGTCATTCGTACCATCTAGAGAGCTGTCACCAGTGCTCTCCCCTCTCTTCACTCAAAGCCTTTTCCCGTGGCTTCATCTTGTATGAAGTTTAAAGGGAATGTGGAAAAGGGCTTGAGCCAGACATTAGGAGGCTCATTTCCATTTCCACTTTCTTTAGAGAATACGTTTCCCTTAATTCTGCTCCCAGTTCCTCTGCTTTGGGTATTTGCTAGGTTGTGACATGAACTGTATAACGTAACATGCCCACAGAGTCTCTGGACTATTGAGAGGAAGGTGAAAATAGCCCTCTGCCCAGGCCAATCTGGCAGTGTGGGAAAATTTCCTTCTCAACCCCCCAAAAATGACTAATTTGATGCACACAGGTGTCCCCAAAACCTAATACTCAGGGGGCAGAGGAGCTGTTGTTTCCAGGAGCAGAATGGCACTCTGGGTGGGGGAAAGGGTTTATAAGCTGTCCTTGGGTTCATCAGAGGCAATGGCTGGATTGAAAGGTACAGTACAAAGAAGCCCAGACAGTTAGGAAGCTGCCTCCTCCTTCTCAAGCTCACAAGGAAGCTGAGCTCCTATGAGGAGAAGGAAGGGAAAGGACCTTGTATTATCACTGAAATAACAATAAATATTTGGTATGAGAAAGTTCAACTTCTTTTCACTTGTGGTTACTGTTGTTTGATGGCGCACCTGGGTAAGAGGACGACTTTAAAGAGAATGTTTGTATTATAACACAGAAGTCAATTTCTAGAACACTATCTTTGAGATGATACAGGATTTATGCTGCCTTTCCACCTTAAACCCAAGCTCAAGGAATGGTGATTTAATCTTTTCCCCTGAAATGTCTCTCTTGATCGCTGCTTCCAGAGCTGCTATCCAAACTAAATTGTGTCACGTTGGGTTGGATTCTCCGACCTCATCTGTACTAACAGTGACTAAGACTGCTCACATCCAGCAATTGGCTGCTTTGAATGTTCTTGGCTTTGTCTAGCACAGTATGTGAGATGGAAATAGAGTCAGAGATTTCTCACTGCTGGTCAGTAATCTGGTTTTATTTTAAATTTTGTATTACATTCTAGTGTAATGTAAGTATGTACAAATATGTCCAGTGTAAGTATGTACAAATATGTATTTAGAAGGTATTAAAATCTTGGTTATTTGTAGCTTCAGCCAAACAGTGCATCTGGAAGTGGTGCTTTGGAGCATGACCCATCTTCCATTTATTTGCGCATCCCAGCTGGTGAAGCTGTGCCTGGCCCCCTTCCTCTTGGAGTATCAGTCATTGATGCCTCTGTGGCACTCTTTGGTGTGGTTTTTCCTCATGTTTCTTACAAACACAGGTCAGTCTAAGTTGTGTGCAATTCCATGTACAGTTGTCTTTGCTCCTTATATTTAACAGAATTATAGTTCTCTCAAAATGTCAGTCTACTCTGAAAAGTAACTGTCTAAAATGGAACTCTTGGGCTCCATGTTCATTGTCTCTCAGTTCGCGTTCCATATCTCATGTACTCAGTTTAGAAGTAAAATATGTTTTTCCTAATATATAGCCCTGAAAATTCAACTTGATGTGTGATGAGGCCATTTTTATCATTGGTTAAGGTATGCAGAACATTTTGCAGTACAGGCAGTCCCCGAGTTACGCGGATCCAACTTATGTCGGATCTGCAGTTACGAACGGGGATTTTCTCGCCCCGGAGGACTAGAGCGGCGGGACGCCTGGTCCGGCAGAGGACCCGGGGCCAGACCCGCGGCCACTTCCAGATCAGCTGGAAGCGCCGTAGGTCCGGCCGGGTCCTCCGCGGCTTTGCTCCGCATCTCCCTGGCCCGCTGGGG